AGCGCCTGACGCTCAACGGCATCTACGAGTTCATCATGAAGAACTTCCCCTACTACCGCGAGAACAAGCAGGGCTGGCAGAACTCCATCCGTCACAACCTGTCCCTCAACAAGTGCTTCGTGAAGGTGCCGCGCCACTACGACGACCCGGGCAAGGGTAACTACTGGATGCTGGACCCGTCGAGCGACGACGTGTTCATCGGCGGCACCACGGGCAAGCTGCGGCGCCGCTCCACCACGTCGCGGGCCAAGCTGGCCTTCAAGCGCGGCGCGCGCCTCACCTCCACCGGCCTCACCTTCATGGACCGCGCCGGCTCCCTCTACTGGCCCATGTCGCCCTTCCTGTCCCTGCATCACCCCCGCGCCAGCAGCACTTTGAGTTACAACGGCACCACGTCGGCCTACCCCAGCCACCCCATGCCCTACAGCTCCGTGTTGACTCAGAACTCACTGGGCAACAACCACTCCTTCTCCACCGCCAACGGCCTGAGCGTGGACCGGCTGGTCAACGGCGAGATCCCGTACGCCACGCACCACCTCACGGCCGCCGCGCTCGCCGCCTCGGTGCCCTGCGGCCTCTCGGTGCCCTGCTCGGGGACCTACTCCCTCAACCCCTGCTCCGTCAACCTGCTGGCGGGCCAGACCAGTTACTTTTTCCCCCACGTCCCGCACCCGTCAATGACTTCGCAGAGCAGCACGTCCATGAGCGCCCGGGCCGCGTCCTCCTCCACGTCGCCGCAGGCCCCCTCGACCCTGCCCTGTGAATCTTTAAGACCCTCTTTGCCAAGTTTTACGACGGGACTGTCCGGGGGACTGTCTGATTATTTCACACATCAAAATCAGGGGTCTTCTTCCAACCCTTTAATACATTAACATCCCTGGGACCAGACTGTAAGTTGAGCGTTTTACACACATTTGCATTGTAAATGATAATTAAAAAAAAATAAGTCCAGGTATTTTTTATTAAGCCCCCCTCCCCCATCTCACCCTTCCCACTCCCACCCTACCTCCATCCAGCCCACCCCACCCCACCCCCGCTCTTTCTGTACGTTTGTTCAGTCTTTAGGGTTGTTGATTATTCTAACAAGGTGTGGAGTGTCAGCGAGGTGCAATGTGGGAGGATACATTGTAGAATATAAGGTTTGGAAGTCAAAATTCTAGTAGAATGTGTATCTAAATAGTGACTGCTTTGCCATTTCATTCAAACCTGACGAGCCTATCTCTACCAGCTGCCAGATTTCCATGTGTGCAGTATTATAAGTTATCATGGATCTGTATGGTGGACGCAGACCTTGACAACAACCTAAATTATGGGGAGAGTTTTTAAAATATTAAGCTGTAATTTGTATTTAAGAAGCATTGGTAGTAAAGGTACCCAAGAAATTATTTTGGCCATTTATGGTTTTGTCCTTTTCTTTAAAGAACTGTTTTCGTTTTCTTTTTGTTTACTTTTAGACCAAAGATTGGATTCTAGAAAATGCACTTGGTATTCAAACAAACAAACAAACAAACAAAAAAGGAAAGTTGTTTCAGTTGGCAATACTGCCCAATCAATTGAATCAGAAGGGGACAAAATTAATGATTGCCTTCAGTTTGTGTCGTGTATATTCTGATGTATGTGGTCACTAACAGGTCACTTTTATTTTTTTCCCCCTAAATGTAGTGAAATGTTAATACCTATTGTACTTATAGGTAAACCTTGCAAATATGTAACCTGTGTTGCGCAAATGCCGCATAAATTTGAGTGATTGTTAATGTTGTCTTAAAATTTCTTGATTGTGATACTGTGGTCATATGCCCGTGTTTGTCACTTACAAAAATGTTTACTATGAACACACAGAAATAAAAAAAATAGGCTAAATTCATATATATCTTGATACTTTTGTCTCTTTTATTAAGTGGAGCTAATTTTTTTTTTTAAAAGACTGTAGGGAATGCAAAGGCTTGTCTCACATTTGAGATCTCAAAGCTGCTCCTTTGATTTGAACTGAGTCTAAAAAAAATTGAAAAATACTATTTTTCCCTTTATTGACAAAATCCACAAGGAGCAAGTTATTGAATAAATGCTAGCTTTAAGCAAAGCATAGGCTTTTTAGCTGATATCTTTTAATTTTTTTGTGAATATACAGCAGAAAAGAGATATAATTTAATTTTTATGTGCATAGCTATTTACACTGTTTTATTTTAAATTTAGTTAATGGACGGATGCTTACTTTTTATATATATTTTGTTTCAGGTATCTTGTTTATAGCATTTGGCAAATTATAAATGAATATATATATGGTTGGAAGTGACTAATGCACACATATTTTACATATATGTGTGTGTGTATATATGCATATGTATATACAGAGAGAGAGTCACGCACACAGAGTCCTTCAGTTCAGGTACCATTTGCGCTACGGATGCTGCAGACATTTTTGTTTAAATGTTTGTATTTATACTTTCTAAGTCAGCATTTATTTTTGTGGTTGTTTACCCACAATGAAAGAGTTCTAATAAAGATGTGCTCAAGTTGCAATATAGATTTTGCTGAAGTGATCACCTGTTGGCATGACTTGTAGATCAATGTTTATGTTTTAAGTTACAGCAATTTGAAATTCTAGAGATGCAGAAGAAGTGGCTCCTCCGCTTTTTTGACAATGGAGAGGTATTTATTTGATTACCTTTTAAATGTCTGTGTAATTTAGATATTTGTTCCTTTTGCTTACACTAAGTCATAATTTTGTTTAACTGGTGATATGCATATATATGCAGATACATGAAACAGAATGAAAACTTTTTTGAATTGTTTGAAGCAGCTCAGTTGCTATAATTCCAGAAAATAATCAGAAAAGCTCAGTAAAAGGTTTAGTAACTAATTGGATCCTGTGGTGAATCTGTGGAGGACAAGTTGTTCATTTGTTACAATTGTATAGTCTGAATGTGTTCTACAGTAATGCAATAAGCTTGTTACTTCTCACAATGGGCCCAATGAAAAATAATCTCTCCCTAAGATGTTATCAGCAAACACTTAGAGAGTTACTCAGGAAAAGGTAAAGAGTAAAGAAAAAAAAAAGTAAAGGAGTAGCAAGGTTACTGAAATAGATTTGAAAATGGTTAATACTGGAAATTGGGGGGGAGCAGTGTATGAGTTAAGGAGTGGAGTGGAGGAAGAGAGAAGGGAGGCAATTTTTATTCTAGGAGAAAAAAAGTTCCCCAACACCCAAAAAAGAGAAGACAGAGAGGATAAGTTAAAATTAAAGACACGGACCAACTAAAAGAAAATGGGAGAATGGACAAAAGGAGACCAAAACAGCTAGTTGAATTATTTTCTTTTAAACAAATTGGACCTGGTTCTATTGGTAGAAAAATAGTTTTGCTAGAGACCAAAGTTTCTTAATGTTTAACAATTCTTAGAAGTTAAGTGTAGAAGTGAATTTTGTAAGTATTTTTAAAAAACCAAATTGAAGACTGATAAAAGTTCTAGCTGTGAGATTAGGCAAAGGAAAGCCTTACTACCCATTTATGAACTAACCTCAGAGAAGGGCATGTTTAGAACTTAAATACATCGATGGCTTATTGTTCGCTGTTGCTATAGATTTTCTTTGTAGAATAAAAGTATACTAGTGTGCGCGCACACACACACACACACACACACACACACACACACACACAACAGCATTTTGCCTACCAAAAGTTAAAAATCAAAGAAGTTGAAATCGTATATGAAATGAAGGGATCTGAAAAATAGAAGTTAGATTTCCTCCATGAATTTTTTTTTCTGATCATCTTAAGTGAATGTAGTTACTTGTAATAATACTTGTTTTATTTGTTTATTTGTGCGAAGGAGACACTGAAACAGACTTTTCCGTGACAAACTTCATACTCTGAAGTCAAGAGTAAACTGGAGTTTTTTGAATCTATAGCAACTGAGTGCTAAGTTCTGCGTGGACATATGTCCACATTCCATATAGAATGGCATGATGAGAAGTTTGTTTACTAGGTACATCTGGACACAAAGTGAGATACAGAGAAAACTTTGTGAAGGCCTCCTGATGCCCACTCTACCTCTTCTTTGTCTGGATCCATTGCATCCTAACCCAAAATAGCTTCTTGGAATAAACAGCTGAATCTGGCGTGGCGCATCCCACATTTTTGCACCAAGTTGGTTGTAATGTTATGTTATTTGTTGTCACTAACCTTTGCCAGTTAAAAGTTGCTCATGCCAGAAAAAAAAAAATACTGAAATATTTGGATCTTCTTTTCTACCTTTCAGTGTTTTTCTTATTGAGATCAAGTTTTGATTATTTGAAAATAATGACAACATAAAATGTGGAATCTCAAATTATAGTTTGTTTCCGAGTTTAACTATTTGACTTGAGTTTGGTATGACCTCAGTTTAAAAATCTTTAGCATGTGTAGCAATAAGAAAATGATGTAAACTGGAATAATGAAAAAAAAATTATTTCAAATACATTTCTTCAGCCTGTAACAAATTTGGAGATGCAGTAGCACGTTGTCCAGGACTCACAAGATTTAATACAAGTGTCTTTATGATCACAGCAACCCTCATGTAGGCTCTGTGACTTGCCTCTAATCCAGAATTGATGAAGGCTGAAGGGTGCTGAGTGGATTGCTTTTAAAATATATATACTTAAGTTGGTGACGATTTTACTCAGTCTGTGGATAAATCCAATATATGCAGGACTATATATATTATAGATATATACACATATATGGTTTTAAAATTTGCGTTTTCTACATTGTTGAGGGATTTTACATGCATGGAAAATTTTTGCTTTTGAGAAATTCTGTTTTTATGATGCGCTGCAATGCCCGGTTGTGTTTGGAGCCTGAAAGCCTGTTGGAGAATTAGGTTAACAAAGGGTGAAGGTGAAGATCATTAGAGGTTTCCGAGCTGACTGAAAGGGTTGTTGGGGCTGTGTAACTGTGCCTGGAGGGCGGGGTTCCCGTACTTTCCTCCTTCGCCAGATAAGCTGCCCCCAACACCGCTCCAGCTCCTGCTAGAAGGATGGAACTCTGCACCACGGAAAATCCACGCAGCCACTCCAAGAAGCCGGGTAGGTGAAACTTGAATTAAAATCACCCCCTCCCTACCTCCTTCCCACCCTCTTCCTTTTTTCCCACCAGAGGCCAGATCCTGGAGATATGGAAAGAATGAGGGCCATCTAGATTGTCTTTTTGCGCGCACACACGCCTCTGCCTTCTTCCCAGGATCTGCCTACCTGTAAGAGTTTAAAAGGTGCTAGCGACCCTGCACAGTACTTCATTCTCGATTTTCTTTTCTTTTGTGTGCGTGATTATTATTATTATTATTTTTTCTCCTCCGTCTTCCTCTCCTTCTCCTCCTTTCTCTTCTTTCCCCTCCTCCTTCTCCTCCCTTTTTTTTTTTTTAATGAGAAGGCTTTATTTTCTTTGATCACAATCTTTTTCCCTCCATAGCCTCTGTTGCACAACCCCTACCCCTGGCCAGCAGCAAGATAACTATAATCTACTTCTTCATTTTCATCCTGCCACCTTCCAAACCGACCCTTTCCTCGCTGCAGTGGTCAGTCCCCCGGAGACCTTGTCCTAAGGGTGTAGGCCATGGGGCTTCACGCCGGCCAATATTTGATGTAATCTTGTGTGTGTGTGTGTGTCTTTCTCCTTCTCGATTTCTATGTTTGTTTTTTTTTTCTTTCTCTCTCTCTCTCTCTCCCTCCACTGAAGACTTCACCTGAGTTTGTCCGAAGGGTGCGGAGGCGACTAGAGGACTGGGAGCGTGTCTACCCCATCAAGGGTGAGTTGAAGTGATTTTCAACCGCAGACCATTGAGGTGCGTTCGTTGTGGCCCACCTACTTAACTGCTTCGGACTGAGCCTTAACTGCTTCGCGACTTTGGGGTTCCAGGGCTGAAATGTGGTTCCGCTCTCCCCCTTGCCTCCACAAACTGTTTCTTAGCAGACGCTCCAGCAACAACAGGCTGCTGAAAAAATGCTTGATTTATGGGATTTTTTTTAACCTTGACAAAAATCCTGTGGCTTTTTAGGCAAAAGGATGCAACTTCAGCGCAAGCTTGTGGGGAGGGAGTGTGGAGAGGAAACAGGACAAAATGATGCGGAGGAGCGGTGGTGGAAGACGGAAGTAGGTCCGAACCTGCACTAGGATTTGCTGGTCTCTGAGACTTGCCGCTGGAAGCAAGCGCTTTTCTGAACATTCACTGCCGGTGATGTTGGCGCGCTTTCAGATGAAGCTTGGTTTTGCTTCAGAGTCAAGAACTTTCCTCTGTCCGTTCCATCTTTTCAGGATAGCCTTCCTTCCTCGCTCACTGCCCCCTACTTTCGGACTCACCCGCACCCTTGCCCCCCACCCGCATTTGGGTCAGACTAGGGACCAAGCCTGGCTGTGGCGTCCTGCGCGGTACCGCACGGATGCGCGAGGCTTCTCTTCGAAGAACTAGGGAAATGAACCCCGTTCTGGGCTTGACTTTGTCCCTGCAGGGAATATCTTAGTTCCCGGCCTTGGAACTCTCAGGCAAATAATTGATTCTTAATGCACTCTTAGGAGATGGCGCCTTGTAAAGCTCCAGAGCCTGGCTGGCCCCGGGTGGCTGCGAGCGAGCGCGCGCGCGCCACTCGCAGGGCGACTCAGCCTGGGCGGGCCGCGGGTTCTGGCTGTGGGGTCCCAGTATCCTTCCCCGCGCCCCCCGGGACTCCTGCGGGTCTGCTGCTGGGGGTTAGGTGGGGGCACCGCGGTGGGACTAGGAGGACTTTGGCGGCAGAGACCTGGCGGCATTGTCTGATCGGGGGTTTGGCCTGATATGGAGAAGTAACTTAGGCGGCGCGGTGAGGGTGGCGCTATCGAAGGAGGATGGAACTCGCAGTCCGCGTTCCGGCTGCGGGGGCGCTGGGCGCTGGCGGGGAGTGGCAACGTGAGGGCGCTCTTGCCCAGGACAAGCCGAGCCAGGGGTTTAAGAGTCGCTCGTTTTCGGCCAACGCCAGCAAAGCTGGTTCCTGAACCTTTGGCTGGCGCGCTTTTCTACGTGTCCCCCCCCTCCCCCATCTTTCTTCTTGGTCTTCTGGGTACTCTCCCCCCACCAACACTCCAGCCCTCCTCACCACTCTTTCCGGCACCTTTACCGCTCTTCAAGTTTTCTTTTTTGTTTACGTGGTAGGGTTTCAGAACTCAGCACTTCTCTGCTTAGATGACGAAACTGGTTTTCTCTGTAACAGACGTCTTTTCCCGCTGCCCACTCCGCTGCCCCCTCACCACACCTTCCACCCCGATTTCGCGTCTGTGCCCAAGCCCGCATCGTGGTCTCAGGCGGAGGAGGGTGACAGTCCCAGGAGAGGTCCCCGCAGCGCGATAGGCGGCCCTGCCTTGGGCCGAGGAAGGCCCCGCGGCTCGCGTGGGCGCTGCATCCCTCGCGATTGCGGGATGCTGGCGCGGTTGTCTGCAGCCCGGGAAAGGCCAGGAGAGGGAGAGGGAGATGCTGAACAGAGCTGTCACCTGTCCCTCACGCCCCATCCCGCTTCCTCCAGCGGTCGGACCCAACTGTAGCCGGCGCGGTCCCCACCCAAATCTCCACTAAAATCTCGAAGGAAGCAGTAACTCTAAAACTATAGTGATCAGAAATGGCGCGTAAAAAGCCTAAATGGTGATATCTGTGAGGATGAGAGGGGAGCTGCTCCTGGCTGGAGTCTTCCTATGGCTCGGCGAGCCAGGCGCGCTCCGTGCGCTCCGCCGGGTCCACGGCCTGGCGGGGAAGCCGCCCTGGAGGAGAGCCGCGCACAGGGACGCTTGGAGAGCCGCGTGCAGGGACCCACCCGGCCGCAGGAAACGGGGTGCTTAGTTAACTGGCGCGACTGAGAGGTTGGTCAAGAGCCTCACTAGAATTTTTCCTGCTTGGTGGCACTTCTGGGATCGGAGTTGTCCTCCGCAGACTTACTTTCTAACCCCCCCCCCCCTTGCTCTTCGGGCATTCTTTGAAACGGAGCTTTCCAGGTGCAAATGTATCTTCCTCCTAGGCTTTTCTTTTTAAAAATTCCTTTGATTGAGCAGGAAGCCTGAAAATCGTAATGCGGTTAGGGAGCGTTGTTTCTTCATTTCTTTCATTTTCTCATTGCTCTGAAATTTAATGACCTGATCATTGTTGTTTCAAGTTAAATTATCTGTTAAATTAGCCCTAAACAATAACTGGTGATATTTTCCTTTTGGGTCTGGTTGCCTCCCTGAATTTTTGGCCCCGATGGGGAAAGAGAAGCATCTCGGAAAGCAGGGACAATGCTTGGTCATACAATATTGCCAAGATAATTCAAATCGATACTTATGTGCCGTTCACTTTACATAGGGGGAAAAATTCACTTTCAAAGCAACTGAATTTCGTAAATTATAAATAAGAAATTGTTTTAAACACTTGTGCTCAGGAACCCCGGGTTCAAGGATGAATGTTAAATAAGCGTCTTTGTTGTTAGGGGAAACAGATATGAACAATATTTTAATTACCCTCCGGAACCTGAATTTTGAACCTCATCACACATCCGTGGTTCTTATTCTGAATCAATTCGGTCTCTCCCTCCCCCGGAGATAAATATTTCCAAAAGAAAAATAAAACGTTTTCGCAAAATCTGAACCACTATTTTACATGTGAATTTCTAGGAATCCAAATTATGTTTGTTTCTTTGAGTCAGACTGCTGCTTATTTTACAATGATTATAGGACATGATTTTTGGAATCATCTAGATATTTCTCTTTCTCCTCGCCTCCCACTCCTGGTTTCATATTGCTTATATGTTCAGATATCCAGGCATAGGTGCGAGACAGCACTTCTGTGGTACAATGAGGAAATGACATCTTTCCTATTTATTCTAACAGAAGGCCCAAATAATAACTAAATCCAAATGTACTGCAATAATTGAAAAATATTTTAAAAATAATGAACACTATTGTGTTTTTCCTATTAAAATATGCTGAATGAATAATTAGAGGCTGAGATGAAGGGTGTAAAACTTGGAGCAAGAGTAAGGTGGTAATTTTATTATTTGATACTTTTGAAATTTCTATAATTAGTGATGTAGTTTTAAAGTTTGGCAAAGCTTTCTTGAAAAAAAAACATATAGAGCACTTCTTCCACTCTGTTAGAAAAAGCCTGGGAGAAATAAAATAGAATCAGGTAAAATTGCAGCAGGAGTTGTTTATTTATTTTATTTATTCATTTTTTCAGTAGTCGTGGTAATCGTGGAGTTGAAAAATATATTTTTAATTACACACTGCAAGCTCTGATTGCAGGTTGGAAAACTAAAATCGATCATGCTGCCATCAATAATGTTGTCTATTGCTGCATTGATTTGTGTTTATGCAGAAGCTTCCAGTTATTTACTTACATATTTCAGCATTTGCTTCTTGATTATTATCCCGGGTTGTTTTTAATGAAGGAGCTCATATAGGAAGTGAAACACACTTGACAGATCCATTTTAAGTAAACCTGATAGTGAATTATAGCAACCCAATGAGTTTAGGAAATTACTTATACTTGCTTTTTAGCAATTATGAACCTGCCTCTGATTACAACCTGGTACTGCTTGAAAACTTCCATTCTTTTCTTCATATCCTCTTTGTATATTTCAACAAAATGGAAAAATAATTCTGTGAAGCCAGATGAAATACAGGGAAGCTGAGGTATGAAACTTGTTGTCGCGTCACTGGCATAGTTAGCTTCTCGTCGAAAACAAGGAGTTGGCCATTGGGATTTGTAATGCTGTGGATGAAAAAATCAAGCAGTAATCATTTGAATACAAAACTAAGACATCTGTTTCAAAACAACTGCTAACTCAAATTTATGCCAGGGCATTTATGCCAAACAAATCATCCTGGAGTTCTGGAGTATAAAGTCTACATACACACTCATAAGCTGTTATTATGTGTGTATGTGTGATCATGTCCTGTGAAGATAGGCATTCTCGTGAGCTAATATCTCCCACTGAATGTCATGGATCAGGGTTCAGTTGAAGAAACACAACTAAGGATCATGCGCTTTGTCTTTTGTAAGCAAGGCAGTAGTGGGAGATTGAGATGGATGCGTACTGTGCTGCTCTAGTGCCCATCACAAACTATGGGGAGGTTGGTTGAAAATTAAAAGAAAAACGCAAGCTAACTTTTAGAGAGTGGTTGAATCCTCGCGGATGAGTCTTTTCCTAGCAATTTGGAGGATGACTCCCTCATGAATAGTTTGTGGAGTCACCTCCACTAAATAGGGTCAAGAGTCCTGGTTTTCCACTCTTGCTACCCCCATCCCCGTCCTCAGTCTTTAGGAGGATGATACAGAGAGGAAAATGAACTACATCGTTTTTGAGAGCAAAGCTACCGTAGGAGATGGAGGAAAAATATAAGCTCCTCACCCTGTCGAATTTTCTGAAACTACTTCTCAGCGTCCGGGCTTGCTTTGAGAGTTGGAGCTGTGCTGTCCCGGGGGCTTCAGGCAAAAAGAAGGTGGGCAAATCTCGGGACCGATAGTTTTGCAGAAAGTTGAAGGAAGAGTTTTGAGTTTCTTTATTTGCTTAATTTTTCTGTCCAATGCCAAGCCCTCAAAAGTTAAGTGAGCGAAGCGGCCCTGTGGGGCCATTCTTGGCATTCCGTGGAGATTGAGATGCCAGAGCATCGGAGGAACAGGATTTATATCTGAGACGTTCTCACCCACCCCTCCCTCAGTCTTTTTTTACGCACACACCGGCTCGTCCTCACGTGCGTTGGGGTAGTGGACAGTGTTGACTTGAATTGCTCTCCCTCGCTGCAAGCCTTTCC